GGAGCAGGCAAGGGTTCTCGGAAAGGGGGTTCGAAGGGGAAAGAAGAACTTCTCCAACGAATTGCAAGAACTCATTGCAAGAAGTGTGGAGAACTTGGACACTGGAAAGCTGAGTGCCCCAACCGTCCACGAGATCAAGCCAATGTCGTCATCGAAGACATCAATGAAGAGTGCAGCCAAGTGGTGATCGAGCCCCTGGACAATTCTCTCGAGAGACAGGTTCGAGTCAGTCAAACTGTAGGAACATCCAATGAGCCAGACATGTCATCCAATCCTGAACATGCATTCGTCGTAATTCACAGAGCCTTTAATTCAATCGATCCAACAGGGGACCTAAAGATAAAAATGCAACAGTTTTTTGCCAACCGGTTGAAGCCTCCGCATTTTGCCAGGCATTGCAGCGAGCATCCGAAGCCTTCGAAACCTTCGAGTTCAATCCAGATCTTTCACAGCTGCACCAGTAAAGCCGGAGAAGAAGCATTTGATGCCAGAGGACTGGCCATCGTTGACACAGGTGCAAGCCGAAGCGTCATCGGGAGTGAAATTCTCCCCAAGATGCTGAGCATGTTAGACCCAATCACTCGTGAAAGAGTCCGAGAGAAACCAAGTCGCATCGGATTCCGTTTCGGCAATAATCAAATAGAATATAGTTTCAAACAGATCTGGATACCTATCAGAAATAGTACGCATCAGATATGGTTGATCATCGAAGTCGTTCCGAAAGCCACACCATTCCTGCTGTCCATTCAGACGTTGCGCAAGTTAGGAGCTGTGCTAGATCTTAAGAAAAACACCTGTTTTTCCAAGCATTTGAGCGTGCCATCCCATTGAAGCAAGGTAAGACAGGTCTGCTCATGATCAGCATGTGTGACTTGTGCAAGCCACCTCGAGTGCCAGCCTTTGTCACATCGAGAGTCGACGATCGCCTGGACCAAGAGTCATTTGAAAGCCATGCCCAATCGTCGAGAAGTGATGAAGATGATCAAGGAAACGGCAGAAGCAGTGATGCAACTGCTCCGAATCCTCTTGACACTCCTGATGAACCAAGTCCAGACTCAGGTGGAAGAGGATGGAGAACAATGGGTTCCCAACGAACACGCCCTACAGATCCAGACTCTGATGCAGGAAGTGCAGAGCCAGAAAGTCATGTTGCAAGAGATCTCCAAGAACATGAAAATGCCCGGAGCCACATCTCCATCACATGCCCACCCGGGCTCAGAATGGTCCGAGCTGTCAGAGCGAGAAATCCTTCAATGGGAAGACGAGATGATTCAGATGACCGAGCAGGCGAAGACCGCCCATCCATCAACGCCCACCAGGATGATGCATGTCCCTACGATCACGAGCATGCCAAAGACACCAAGTCGAGCAGCTCCCACTGGAGCCACTGGAGTCCGTTCTCGAGCGCCCGGGACACCGCAGAAGGTTCCGCAGAGTCCCGCTGGAGCCCTGTCGAACGAAGAGCCAACGACAGGTGGCGAGTTCCTCGCCCCGAACGGTCGCGATCTGGCTTGGACACAAGATGCCATGACATCATGGGGACGAAAGGTCATGACTTGGGGCAAGAAGCATCCAGGAAAGATGTACTACCAGGTCTACGAAGCCGACGAGCAATATGTGAGTTGGTGCCTGAGCCGAATCAATTCATTGAACATGCCGATCCTCGATTTTGCAAAGTACGCTCAAGTGCGCCGACAAATGGAGGCCCAGATCCACGGCAGTTTGTAATCAATTTGGCCACACAAGTCACGAATTCACATGAAGCTAAATGGCTGCGAGCCCTCAGAAGTGAAATTAATTATAGCTTCAATAAACCAAGCATTGACCTGTTGGAAGCCTATGCTCAACCCAATAGTCGCCTAGCTGAAGAAGTCATTCATGCAGGTGGTAAAGCGTCAAGATTTACTAGGGAACATGGAGACCTCTCAACTTTCGAAGGCCAGATTGAATTGCTGCGCATGATCATCCGTTTGCGTCCCAAGCACGTATGGGTTGCTCCAGAGTGTGCACCATGGTGTTCATGGAATCGATTCAATGCCCAACGCAGTCTTCATGCTTTCGAAAACATCCATGAAGCACGAGAGCAATCCAGAATGCATTTGAAGCTGTGTACGTTTGTCTGCAAACTCCAGCTCTAAGGTGGAAGACATTTCACCATGGAAAATCCTGGAACATCAAGCATGTGGTCACAAGAAGAAGTCCAAGAGATTCTCAAACACACCAAGACAGTCAGGTTTGACCAATGCAGATTTGGACTCAAACACCCACAAAGTAGTGAACCACTTAAGAAGGACACCCGATTGCAGACAACATCCTGGGAAATAATCAAGAGACTTGATCAAAGAAAGTGTGAAAACAATCATCATCATTCTCAAATCGAGGGGTCATGTCTTTTCCAAGGGAAGACAATAGCGGTTTCAAGGTTTGCTGCATTCTATCCACGTATTTTCGCTAGGAAAGCCGCTCAGAGCATCCTCCAGGAAAGGAATCCTCCCGAATGTCCGTGGTTGCAGTCATCCATGGTGTTAGACATGCTTTGTCCAGTTAGGGAAGCCGAGAGTGACCCCACTGATGAACCAGGATCAAAGAAGGCGCGAAAGGTGAGCCCAGTGGAAGACTCACCCACCCGCAAACGAGGACTGGAAGAATATGAACAATTCTCCACCCTGTCCGGAAAAGGCTGGACAGATACAATGGAAAAGCTTCAAAGCTTGTTACCAAAATCTGGAGCTCAAAACATCGACTTGGAAACATGGCCTGGAAGCTTCCTTAAAGAACACTGTCAGATCGAAGATGTGAAAGAGATTAAGGCTATAAAAGGGGTAGAGAAATATCTGACAGGGAACCCGACGTGCACACATCGTCAAACCATTTGCTTGTGTAGAAAGTCGCAGAAGATCTTTGACTTGGGAGTTGAGGAATGGTATAAACAGACCCTAACGCAGCAAAGACGAAAAGCAATGCCGAGTCATATCATGATAGGCATCTTTGGAAATAACCCCAAAGCCTTGGAAGAAAACCAGCCAAAGTCAGAGTCGATCGGTCAGCCCAGCCTAGATAAGCCATTGCCGAGCCAGTTGCGAGAAGAAGACAACAGATCTTCGTCAATTTGTGCAGATGTCAAGCCTGAAGCCAGTGATCCGAGTGTGTCCAAATCAACGGAAACACCAGCTCAACTGAGTGTAATTCCTTCATGGTCTCCTCAAACAACAGTCAATTCAGGTCCCAAATTCCTTGAATTGAACAGCAAGCAGCAGTCCATGATTCGAAAGATGCACAACAATTTAGGACATCCTGTCTCGGAGAAACTCGGGGAGCATTTGCAAAGATTAGGATTTACCACAAAAATGGTTGAGGGTGCCAAAGACTACCAATGTCAGTCATGCGTCGAACGTGTGCCTCCCAAGCTGACAACCCCAGGGAAGCTGAAAGAGGCCAAAGAATTCAACGAAAGAGTCGCCTTAGATGGTTTCGAATGGAAGGGACAAAAGGGGAACAAATACTATGTATTGCACTTCTTTGATGAATCCACTCATTTTCATCTAGGCCGAAGATGCAATAGGAATAGTGACAGTACCATCAAGACATTCGTAGAAACCTGGACACATTGGGCTGGACCACCAACGGAAGTTCAACATGATGAGGCCGGAGAACTCATCAGTCAGTCTTGGAAAGACTATTTGCAGCAGGAAGGCATTCGTTCCATCGTCAGTGCAGCTCCATGGCAAAGGGGTCGAATTGAGAGACATGGAGGAGTAATAAAAGAAATGCTAAGTAGAATTGATCAAGAACAAATGATTAAGGATGAAAAGCATTTCGACCTTGCTCTAAATCAATGTTTCCAAGCCAAGAATAGCCTAACAGTTGTAAATGGCTATAGCCCTGAACAAGCAGTACTTGGACGATCAAGACGGTTGCCAGCATCAATCTGTGGAGATGAAGACTTTGTTGCACATTCCATAGATAACCCAGCCGATTCACGTTCAGAAGATTTTCTGCAAAAGATGCAAGTTCGATCCCTAGCACGCAAAGCCTTGCTAGATGCTGACAACAGTCAAGCAATTCGAAGAGCACTCAACCGCCAGTCCCGAGGCCAGGAACATCCGTGGAAATGTGGAGAACTATGTATGGTTTGGGACAAAAGAAAATCACCAAACATGCTCGAAAAAGGGAGGTGGACGGGACCATGTCAAATAGTACTAGAAGAAAATCGAACAATTCTATGGGTGACTCACATGAACCGTTTACTTCGTGTTGCTAGAGAAAACCTCAGGCCGGTTTCAATTCGTGAATTTAATCAAGTTGCACGCTTGCATCAAAACTGTGATGAGAAACGTTTGCAAGAGATGGCTAACCAGCTGAAGAACCAACTTCGTGAAAGAAGCGGAATGTTCCAATTCTCGGATTTGACGGATGTTGACCCAGAAGCCCAGCATGAGCCCGAAGGAAGAAGTGGGGTTCAGCCTGAAGAAGAACCACACCGTCGTAATTCAGAGGCAGAGGAACTTCCCGTGGCACCTCTTGGAACTGAAAATAATAGTGAAGAGCCACGTGATTCTAATGACCATGAACCTGGTAGGGAAAGACCTGTCGATGATGCTGCAGAGTCCATTCGTAGGGGCACAGAGGATCCAGATAGGGGCAGTGATCCTGTAGGGGAAGGGGAAACCAAGAATGAATCAGAAGGGGATTCAGGGGAGTCGCTATACAATGTGTGCATTGTAGAAGCTAATGATCCAGAAGCAGATCCAGTGCAAGACAATGGAACATTGTGGTCTGTTGCAGAAGACGCCTCAATCATAGACGCCAATTTCTGCAGTTTTGAGGTAGATATACCTGCCAAGTATTTGACCGATTTCTGCATGAGTCCCAGTCTCCATGTCGACAAAGTTGCCAAAGCCGCCAAGAAAAATCATGTGGAGGTTCAATACAAGACCTTGAGTCCTGCCGAGAAGAAAGAATTCGACCAGGCCAAGGACAAAGAACTAGGATGTTGGATTGAGACCTCATCCATCGAACCAATCTTAAAGGACAGAATCCATCCATCCAGAATCATGTCATCAAGATGGATATTGACATGGAAAGTGGACCCTGCTTCACCTCAAGGCCGGAAGGCTAAAGCGAGGTTGGTAGTTCGAGGATTTGAAGATCCTGATGCATCCACGGTGAATACTGAATCACCCACGCTCTCCAGAGATGGAAGAATGATCATCCTTCAAGAAATAAGCAGTAGAAAATGGAACCTCCAAAGTTTTGACATTCGTACTGCTTTTTTGCGAGGTCGTTCAGATCACCGAGTTCTAGCAATGCACCCAGTCCCAGAATTGCAGCAACTGTTAGGACTGAATTTGAATGAAGTGTGCCTCCTCAAGGGAAATGCATACGGAAGAGTTGATGCCCCCATATTGTTCTACAAAGAGTTCAGGAAAACCTTGGAAGCAGCAGGATTCGAAGCTCATCCTCTTGATGCCTGTCTGTTCATGCTGCGGAACAAACGAAACCCTCACAAATTGGAGGGTATTTTGGGCACTCATGTTGATGATGGAATAGGGGGAGGGACTGAAGAATTCGAAAAAGCTTTGACCATGGTTCAACAACATCTTCCCTTCGGACAGAAAGAATATAAGAAGTTTCGATTCACTGGTTTGGATATTGAGCAAAACACCGATTATTCCATTCGAGTAAGCCAAGCCGATTACATCAGCAAAATCGATCCCATAGACATTCCAAAACCACGAAGGAAAGAAGAGAACTCAAGCATCACTCCATTCGAGTTGCAACAATTGAGAGCTTTGTGCGGAAGTTTGCAATATGCTGCAGTTCATTCCAGGCCCGATATTACAGCAAAGGTAGCATTCCTTCAAAAAAGGATACCAAAGGCCACAGTAGCAGACTTAATGGAAGGAAATAAGGTTCTGAGAGAAGCAAAGAACACTTCGGAAACCTCCATCCTAGTCCAACCAATTCCATTGAACGAAGTGACTTTTGCAAGCTTTGGAGATGCCAGCTTTGCTTCCGAACAGCAACTTAAAGCCCAACAAGGTTTGTTTATCATGGCTACCACGGAAAAACTAGGAAAGAACGAAGTGTCCGAATTCTCACCAATTGCGTGGGGATCAAAGCAAATTGCCAGAGTTGTAAGGTCAACTTTGAGTGCCGAAGCATATGCCATGTCAAGCTCACTTGACAAACTGACTTGGGTTCGTTGCCTGTGGAGCTTTGTGAATGATCCAAACTTCCAATGGCAAAAACCAGAAAAGGCTTTGAGTCAACAACCAAAAGCTCTTTTGGTCACAGATTGCAAATCACTGTTCGATCTTGTCACCAAACTTGCTGTCCCAAATTGTCAAGAGTGGAGAACCACAATTGAAGTTATGCAGATCAAAGAACAAGCTGAAGGCAACGCCACTTGTCGATGGATTTCTACAGCTATCATGTTAGCTGATTGCCTTACCAAGCCCATGGACGCCACTTTCTTGAGGAAGGTTTTAGCCATCGGTAAATTTCGCATTTTCGATGAAACCAGTACACTAAAAGTGAATGCAAATAGAAAGTATGGAGAACGATGGGCAGAAGGTTTTCGAAAGCAAGCTGTTGAGTAAGCATCTCGAAAAAGAAAATAGTATCGGTGTGATTTCTGCCTGAGAAGTTGACCTTCGAGATGTCATCCATCGGTTCGCCGGTGGCTCAAGGAACGAGAGGACTCGTGTGGTGCCGGCAGTGAAAGAGCGCGGCCGCGGGAAGGGAGGTCCCTTTTGATAGGTTAGGGTAGGATCCCTTAGGTTCGAGGTTAGAGGCCTCTAGGAGTTGGTAGAGGTTTGAGGATAGGCCGCTGCCAGTGTGTGCTCCTACGGGAGTCACATACGTGTATATATATATATATAATAGCAATGGCCTCCAACCTAAGAGCGATGGCCTCCAACCTAGTGGCTTCCAACCTAAGAGCACTCAAGACCTGACGTCCTATATACCTGCCAGGAGTTGGCGCTTCCCTCGAGTGCTCAGGTACTTAGATGCCAAGGAACGCAAGTTCATCGAGGAGTTCTCGGTGTGCAACTTTGTGGGCATCACTAAGGCTGGACCAGACCAAGAATAGACATCATGGGCTTAGCAACGCTCCAGCAGCGTGTTGGCCCCGGGTCCGCAAAGGGCATCGCTACTAGGAACAAGAGGACGCTACTAAGGGCTAGTAACGATAAAGCTACTGAGGGGCTCCTGGCCTTACTACTAGGAGCAAGGATGCTACTGCGAGTATCTATTGGTCCCCTGTACGACAGTACTTGGGAATTTGCCGGTGGGACGATTTGGTTGGTAATGGAAGCCCTGAATCTGAACATTTTCATTACACAAACCGCAAACCAAGCAAAGAGATCGAACACTATTGTTTTTTTTGCTAGGTTCGTGTCATTTAAATGGCAAATCGGCACTACTAGGAAAACAGGTTTGATTGCATAGTTTTTTGCTGGATTTGTGTAGTGGTGCACAATTTCCGAAAGAATCGCAACTTGTGATCCATTTGTGGAATTTCTGTATTGCTTTGGACCACGGTTGTCTTTCCTTCTTGGAGTCATAGTTCTGATGGAAGCACAACTGGAATCTTTACCTGGTTTGGGAATCATACTCGCCACACACATTGTTGAATCAACACGGTTTGGGGAGAAATGACACTGCTTGGAACAATACATGTTATTGGATGTTTTCTATTTAAACTTGGTGCGTCCTGGTATTGTTTCAATCTTGCCGATGTCTGTTTGGTTTGTTTTGAATCATAGACTCTATAAGGGGAGCTTTTTTAGTCTTAATTGGGGGGAACAACTCTTTTTGAGGCAGGAAAATTTGTTGGAAGAAGAACCTTTTCGGATTTTGTAAGACTGTTCCAATGTGCCCGGTCTATCCACTCGTTGACTAAAGGTCTGAAGTAACGCCCCATGGAGGTTTTAGTGATGGTAGCTCAGGATTTGTTCTACTGTACTTGAAGTTTCGCTTCCTGTGTTGCCCCTGCTGTGCAATGATGAATTGCACCAGTAGGCCCAAACTGCACACGGTGTTGGATAGGAAATAGGGCAGCAAGATCTCGATCTTAGCTGCTTTCTTTACTTCTCTGTCGGGCCGTCAAACTTCGACAGCGGTTGATGATGAAAGAAATATGGCATGATGGAGTTTCAGGATAGTCTAGACGGACTCGCTGCCACACCCTTCACTCCTTTCCTTTGCTTCTTAGGATGTCGAGGCGTCCACAAAAATGCTACAAGTTCTCTCCAAAACAAACTGCGATTTGGACACCAAAGAATAACCTGGGAGTTCTTTGAGGTGCAGGGGTGCCGGAGACCTCAAACCGAGTTTTGACATCCACCCGCCCTTGCCTCCTCTTGAGAAGCATCCCGCTTCAGCATGTCCTTCCGCCCCTTTGGCGAAACTGTTTCTTCCAATTAAGAGGTTTTTGCTTGGCAATTCGAAGGTAACAACGTTTTGCTATTCAATGGTTCTTTCCAATCTTTTGGAATCAAGTTGCACCGGCTCGGAAGACTTATGATTTTATTTTTGAGCCAATTGAGCCAAACTTCTCTTTAAAAAACAACTTGCAACATGTGACATGTCAATTATATACCGTAGTAGTAGTCAAAGAAGAGGAAGAAAATGAAGAGAAGAATAGTAATAATAAGAATAACAATAAGAAGAAGAAGGAGAAGGAGAAGGAGAAGAAGAAGAGGAAGAGAAGAAGAAGACCAAGACGAAGACAAAGACGAAGAGGTCCAGGAAGAGGAAGAGGAAGAAAAGGAAAAGGAAGAAGAAGACGAAGAAGAAGAAGAAGAATAATAATAAGAAGAATAATAAGAAGAAGAATAAGAAGAAGTAGAGGAATAACTATAGTGATTAAAAGTAAAACAAGAAGACGAAAGAGCAGAATAATGAGAAGAAGAGGAGGAAGAAACATAATTGTAAGCAGTAAGCAAAATATATTGACAAAGTACAGACATCGTTGCTTTGGTCGTTGTCAAACCTCAAGTCAGGATGGCCGCTATGTGACACCCAAGTCTGACACGATTTTGCAGTCCACGACCAACATCATGCTGCAGCAGCTTGCGAAGGATCGTGGTATGATTGTGGAAGAGAGACCCATCGACTTCGAGAAAGAGATTGGAAACTTCAAAGAAATTGGTGCCGTGGCTGGAAACGGCTGGAGATTTAAGAAGCTAGTAGAAACAAGTGCATCGCTTCTAGTAACAAGTGCCTTACTAGCAGCAACAAGAAGCTATTAGCTTATTGTTTGTATTTTGTAGCTGTTGTATCGTTGCAGCTCAACCCAAAGCCTGCGTGAGCACCTTCGCCCTGTGGGTCTGGGATTGTTTCAGGTATGTGTGGCACAGCGGCTGTGGTGGTCAAGGTTAACTCCATCAGCTTCGGGGACAAGGTCTATGATTTTGAAGACTTTGAAGCAGGGCTGCGCTTGGATGACTTTGATGATTTTTCTTGTTGACAAGGTGTCATGTAGTGAAAGATGCGGGACAACCACCTCCTTGTTCAGATTCCGCAACCTCCAAGGATGTCATTTCGGGCCTGCGAAGTCAGCTCACTGGAATTCAATGTTTCAGCCTGAACTTCGAAACAAATGCATCTCTCAGAATCAAAACAAGTGGAGTTGTCATACCCAGGCGGAGAGGAAGAGGACAAACACGGATGGATGAAAGAAGTTTGTGACGTTGTGAACGATAGCATTCCAGAGGTGAGGATGCATTTGCTTTTGCCCAGCAGATCCATGCCATGATGTTTGTGGGGCACTTTGTAAAGTTTCTATTGGTATCGCTAGACATTTTTTCGCAGGTGTTCCCAGTGCAGACGCGCTCCTTTGCGCCTGACATGGTAACCGCAGAGGCCACTTGTCCCTAAACCAATTCTTCCTAGTTTTGCAGCTCCCGAAATTGGTGTGATCATTGCTCATGCAGGCGAAGGGGCAGGTCCAGCGTATGGGCAGCCAAGCGATGCACGGTTTGGAGCGCCTCCTTTTGGAACACGTCGTTGCCAATGCGGAGCCCGGCAACCCCGACAGTGTGTCTGGGCGATTGCTGGGCCAAACAAGTATATGAGCCACCTCACCGATAGCGTCAGTTTTCTGTTGAAGAAGGACAAGGAGTTTTGAGCGTTCCTCATATGGGCTTGTCTTTTTTTAAGGTGTCCAGTTTATGTAGGGCTGGGATGTTCGACTTAGGCGAAGCATACCCCCGAAGCATACCCTCTGAAAATGCTACTACTTTAGTCTTCACACTGCGCGAAGCATACCCCGAAGCATACCCCCGAAGCATACCTCCGAAGCATACCCCCATAGTCAAACATCCCGGCCCGGGAACCTTAAAAAAATACAAACCCATATAATTGCAGGAATTATGAAGCCAACAGCTTTCAGGGCCAGCTTGGTCACATCACATTCATGCGGTTTGTTTTGGCCCCGGTGTGGCTGAGAAGAACCTTCTTGGAAGCGCACAGACCCAACAACAAAAATAAATTTGCAGCATGAATTAACATTTCGCCAAAGATCAATCTCAGGAGCACAAAGCTTGTTCTTGTTGAAGCCAAATCAAGTTTGCAATGACCATCTATCTATCTTGAAGGCCTTTGCCGACAATTCATCGAATGAGAATCTGCTGGCAATCCTCCCATATTAGCAGACATTGGAGGTCTCTGACATGAGAAAGTTACCTTCAGAGACCTCTACGATGGATAGGTGGGGCCACTTCACGGTACATTGTCAGATGTACGGTATTATGATGTACTCACATTCCGTAGCCATTGCGAACTGCTCTGTATCATTCTGTATCTATATCACAAGGATGTTGTGGCAGTCCCTTTTCTGTGGTGATGGAGTACTTGCCGATATAATATCGTAGTCCGACAGTGTTCATTGTTTGGGCAAACATATACAACCCTTGAAGGTTCTTTTCTCTTTGGTTTAGTCGCAAATACAGCAGTGATGGATGATGGATTGATTGCAGAACTCAATGCTTCTCGAAGCATGCAGTATGAGGTCCTTGCTGCCATGGATGCTTTTTGGAACAAGACTTTCCAAGCCCAAGGTCTGGGTGGAGTCTGCTTGAAGGTACTAGTGGCGAAGAGCAGAGAACCACAGAACTCAATGAGCAATCGCATATGCATGGCAACATGGCTGTGACTGTGTTCATAATTATATATATATGTAAATATAGATTATATGTATAAATATATTTAATCTGTATAATCTGAAGAGTACCGTACGAAAGTGGGTAAACTGAAGGAAAGTCAGCTTGCAGCTTGCAGAATGCTTCCGTCGGACTGGTGTGACGTGTCGGGCTTGAAGGCGCAGAAAAGTGGAATGTACGCGGGCTCAAGATTGAGGAGGCGGTCAGAGACAAAGTTCAAGCCAAGGCCAGTTCTGAATTTTGAGTGGGGTTCACAGCCACACCTCAGACTTGGAACGGTTTTTTGTATGTACAGTAACCTTCCCCATGTTTTCAGCATCACATGTATTGTGAGCTGTGATCAATGGGCTTTCAAGCCCCAAGTATTTGTAGACTGCTATGGACTATGGATCTCCAATACTCTGTAAAGCATTGACAATACACGCCCCAAACTCGTCCTTTGATTCAATACATACAGTTCGCCCTCAAACTGCTGCACGGTCTGATGATTGGCCGCGGGACACTGCGGACATTATATTTACTGTATGCAGCATGCATTTGTCGTTTGACACCAAACACAACATGAAAGGATGAGTCGCATTTTTGAAAGAGGCTTCCTCCGGAGCGCCAGTGCGATGCCTGGAGATGGGCACTTACTGTGCCTTGGCGAACACTCAACGCTCCATCTGGTGTCAATCCATGGGTGAACTCAATGGGTTGGAAGGGAACGTCGAAGACTTGGATGTTGTAGCACTTTGAATTCGACAAAGTTGGTTTCCTGGGTTTTGCATCATGAGAGTATTGATCACCCTCCCACATCATTTGGAAGGCATTTTTAAATTTGCTACAAAACAACTGAGCCCGATCAAAAACCTCCATGAAGAGTTTGTGTCATGCAGTTGTCCTGGCATACCCCGGCGAAAGGCAAAATTCAAGTCACGAAAGCTTCGAGAAAGCTATTGCGAAAGACATCACAAACACATGGCTGCGAAAGGAATATGCGAAAGGACATTTTGGATGACATGTTTATTGTACATATAGGTGTCGGCAGTCGATTTTAAAACTTCTTTCGCCAAAGGTCCCACGAAAGGGCTAAGCAAATATAGTGTATGCCCGCAAAAGAACTGTGGTCGCGAAATACACAGCCAGTTCCAATAGGTTTTCGACACAGCTCAACTGTACGTTCGGATCCAATAGCAACTGCACTTGCAAGAAACACGACTCTACTGACACGTCGTGGTAACCCTTAGCAGTTAGCAGCTCTCAGACACTGCATGCTTAGAGCAGAGCATCACTGTGCAAGGAATTCCTGCTTTTTCACTGTGTTAAGATTTAACCAAGCGCCATGCTCAATTGATATCGCCTGCAACGTGACACACTTTTGCTTATTGGAATTGTAGCTTGTTCAGAAGGAGGCCCTAGGAGATTTGGAGTCTTTTGCTCCCCTCTCACCATCATCAGAGCTAAGAACATGATCTTGAGGCCCATGAGTTGATTCTATCAGCTGTGGTTCTGCAAAGTTCTGGTCTCTGAATATTGCACACGTGAGCGTTTCTACTTTGAAATTAGCTGTTGGAGTTCTCGCAGCCCTGCTCCTTTGATATTGGTAATATTCTAAGCTATAATACGTATATTAATTGTATTAGATTTTTGTCTTGACAAGGCTAAGCAGCTATGCTTTTCTTCAGATTGCAAGATTGGGAAGTTGGGTTGCACAGGTGGATACAGTGCCCTACGGATAGCTCGAAACCTGCCAGCTGGAGGGAAGCTCCTCAGTGTTGAAAAGGACAGGTTGCTCCTGAAGTGTGTGCAAGTTGCGCAAGGTCCTGCTGCGCACAGCTTGGTCGTTGCAGTACCTTTGAAGCCAACGGCTTTGGCAGACGTGCATAGTTCAATTATGTTTTCGAGATAAATGGAATGCCTTGGAAGGTATTTGGCTCTCTCTAAAGGTGCAAAGTCTGCCGACATCTTGAATCTGCGAGGATGAACTTTTTGCTGCCATTGCAACAAAGATCATCGAGTTTGCAGGCCTAGACGACAAGGCAAGGACTTTTTTTTGTCTTCACACAAGAGTTACTGGCTAATCAGCACTCCTCATCACTCATCACTTTGGACATGACATTATATGACATTGACATAATATCATGTCCGTTGAATATGCTAGGTGTGATTAATAGCAACACATGATATTATAAGGATGATGTTTTTGCAGGTGAAGATTTGGATGGGCACGGTGCACTCAGAGATCGCCAACATTACCAACAGGCAATCAGGGGTTTCTTTTGGTGCCGAGCCGGATGCGTTTCTTTTTGTGCAGACTCGATTTTTTCTGAATCTGCTACTAGAAAGCTTCTTGTTACTAAGAAGCTACTAGGAACAAGTGGGTCGCTTCTAGTAACAAGTGCCTTACTAGTAGTAACAAAGAAGCTATTAGAAACAAGTGCATCGCTACTAGGAGCAAGGACGCTACTAGGGGCTCCTGGCCTTACTACTAGGAGCAAGAAGCTACTAGGAACAAAGAAGCTACTAGGAACAAGAGATACTTACTAGTAGCTTCAAAGACCGTTCCTAGTAGCTTCTTGTTACTACAGGTGAACCGATTCCCAGTGAAACGATTCAGAAGGAAGCTTCTAGTTACTATTACTAGAAAGCATTACTAAGGAACTTTAAGGACATACTAAAAAGCTTCTTGTTACTACAGGTGAAACGATTCCCATGGAGCTTGGGAACTTGGTTCCGTTTCTACAAGGCTGGAACACGAAGCAGCAGACTTTGTCCTAGTCGACCACTCGAAGGACCAGTGCATGGGTTGAAAGATGTCTGCCTTTTTGTCGTGTTACTGCTTGAATCCAAAACGTTCTCAAGACAAGATACGGAGGTGGAGATTCAGATCCTGCTAACATCTCCACTGTCTCCTTGGGCTCAATATTTCTTGTAGGCTTCAACTCATCATTTGCTACTCCGCTGGTCCATGCAGATACTGACAGATTCCAGGAGAGATACGTTCCAGACTTGAAGCTGCTGGAGGAATGCGGAATTGTTTCCAAGCCGCTGGTCCAACATCTTTTCGGTGGGGTGCAAGAGTTGGACATAATTGGAATATATAGGTGATTATAGGTGCGAAGGGTATGATGTTTGAGGAGCATCGCAGATCAAGTCGTTTTTTGAATATAGCGTGAGTTTGCTACATCACTTCTACAGGATTACAGTATGTTATTTTCGGGAGTCAAACATGTATTTCGGGGTCTCGACAATAGCCAGGTGGGAGTCCTTGGATGAGCAGGCAGCACTTGAATTGATTTCAAGAAACAGTTTGCTAAGAGCTGTGCAAAGCTGCTGTGGCTAGGTTTACACATTTCATCCCATTCCCTTCAAAGAGTTCAAAATGAATTGGTCAAATCATTTCACCCGTTGGCTAAGGGAAACCGCAGTGGTTGGTGACGTGGAAGTATACCCTGGTGATGAGAGGCCCAGAAGTGTCGTGCGGGTCTGGAGAAGTACCGAGAAACACTCCTTTCGAACAGTGGCTCAAAACAGTGCACCACATACTTTTTACGGGGGGTAGGCTGTAGAGGTAAGAAGCTAGGTAGAAGCTACTTGTAGGTAGCTAGTAGCTTAAGTAGCTACTACCTACGACACAGGATGAGGGCGGCGGGGGGGGAGCTTCCTTGAAGAAGCACTCGCACCATTCATTTGGTTCCTAGATTTTTAGGGAAACTTCAGTTCCCTCCTTCCTCACATGTTCTACCACAACGCAGTGCCTATACAGTATGTGCTCCGGACAGAGCACGTCTGTCTTTCTTTGCTCTGGGCAATCTAAGATGTTCTTTCACTGACATGGGGCGGAAGAGATGTCCTGGAAGCAGATCAATCTAGAGTAGACCTTTGGAAGCGTGATTGCCTGCAGGCCTCCCAAGGTTATTGAGGAGGAGATCAGCCGTTTCTTCTCCGACAGAGCGTTTGGATTGGCCACCATGGTGCCTTGCCTAAAGGGATAGCTGTGTGATCGAATAGGGGCCATACCTGAACAGCAGACAGTGGATGAAGAAGTGTTGATGACATGTACAGTACAGTAGTTAGTTCTGTTTGTTGAGTTGTGGGATTAATCACTCAAGTGCCCGCAAGAATTGGCTTGTCTCATCACTAAGCCCGCTGTTCTTTTTGGGACGTCCGTCCACCACAACCAAGTGTATAATCGATTGCAGTATATCCCGTGGCACTGAATAGTGATGCCCAGAGTTGCCAAGGTTTGAGCAACGAAGGACCGCGTTTGCAAAAGTCATGAAGTCATGCCGCTGACTCATGCCCAACTCTGACTGTAGAACTTTAGAATTTAACACGTCAAAGTAGAACCTTCTGTGAAAAGAATGAAAAGCACTTGAACTCAATCTCATGTTCTCTTCAGTTCTTCAAGATATGGAGCTGCTTTCTGCATGGAAGCAGCCATTGGGCTTTCAATTATCGAAGATGCAACTTCCTTCACTTCCTTCCAGGAGCTTTTTGGAGCAGAATCCTGAACTCACGGAAATCGATGGAGATCTGTGAGTTTCTGGCATCGGCAGAATCGCTGCCAAATGCCAGCAATCCCCAGTTTTTCTTACTGTAGCTGGTTGCGTCAGCGCAAGCTGGACAGGGGATGTTGCACCACAATTGCACCGTTTCAGCATGGGACAGCATGCAGAAGTGACATCAGCATCAAGTGCAATATCTTCTCGGGCACCCACATCTCTAGTTCAGCTGCCGACAGAGCCGACAGCCACAAAGACCTGCAGCGCGTTCAGGGTGAAGGGGATGAATTGAGGAGAAGGGCAAAGATTCAACAGTAATTTACCAACCCTTCATGCTCAGGAAGGAAACAAATATGCTTTGACCACAGCTCTTGGATGCAGACTTGTTGTTCGGGTCTAGTGCCTTCATGCCTCAATCCATTGCCATGAGGAAGACTGTTTCCAGCTCCGATCCTTGGCAGGATGACCCGAGGTTCCTGACTTTGACCAACCAGGCATGTGTGAGTGAGGGTGTTTTTTCCAGCATGCCCTCCATCTCGTCCAGTCGAACAACTGCATCCTCCGCTTCACCGTCTTTGCTCGCTGCGCTCGTGAATTGGGAGAAGAGGAGAGAGACATTCTTGTGCTTTTGCAAAGCGCTGTCCTATTATGACTCATAGACTGATTCTTCAAAAGCTGGTGCACTCAAAGCCACAGCGAGGACACGCGCTGCAAATATCAGTATTACCGTGCTCAGACCGCATGCCCTGAATCGCAATTGGAGGACGGGATCGTCCACTGTCAGAGGCATGCTTTATGCAATTCCACCGTTGACCAAAAATGCGCTTCAGAATAATCCACACCTTATCCCTTTAGAATACGTGGATGGGTCAGAGACATCAATGATGATTTGTGCTAGTGGGCTGAGAACCGCACTAGTAGTCGTGCACTTTTTATCAAAGCACCAAATAACAGCGTTTTCTGACGTTCATCCATGGCAACAGTGCATTGCATGTGTTGCCTTTGTTTTTCTTGCTGAAATTCCATTGTGTTTCGATTTTTGTGCTCGCTCTTCGGGAATGTAAATTTGTTGATTATGTTGCCTGTAATATCGCCCAAAACCAAGAATCTTATTGACTTTTTCTGCCTTGTCTCATCATGTGTATCACGTGCATCTTCATCCTTTGGGTGGGGTGGGTGGGGGGGTGGGGCGGTAATGACGTACGCTCGTGATGTCCAACATCATCGGCCATCGGCATTTTTCGATCATGCATTTTGTTCCATTATGCGAATCACATGCATCTTCGTCTTTGGGGGGAGTTGGTCGGTTGGGGGCAATGCCGCATGCATTCTGTGATTTCCTCAACGTCATCCACTTTGTTCCATTTTGCCAAATGCTCTTGATTTTGTCTTGGCGATGCTCCTTTCCTTTCTTTTCGTGACTGACTGTGCACACATGGACATGATGTCACGATGGTTTACGCCTTTCGATGGTTCAAGGTTTCACGTGATTTGGCGGGTAGCATGGCTGCCCTAAGTGGTTGCTGTGCAGTCTTCGTTTTTCCTGTTACGTCGTTTTACAGGACACGCAGTTGCAAACCTTGTTGGACGCCGAAGCTCTCTTACCAGAAAAGATAGCAAGATGCCCTTGAACAGTCCCCCAAAAGATGCGTGTTGAAGGGATGAACTTGAATGAGAACGCAATCTCGCCTCAGCAAAACACGATTTGGAGTTGAAACACATTGGAACTGAGACTGCGAGGCGCTTGTTTTTGGGAAGTCGAATGCTCCAAAACTTTTGGGAAGTCGAATGCTCCGAAACGGAGGTTTTAACACTTTTTGAACCCACTAGTTGCAGATTGACGATACACGCAATGCAAAAAACGCAGGCACAGTTGTCAGCCCGGCGGGATGTGTGTGTGGTCGGTCAAATTGTACATAAGTCCTTCAACATGTGTTGTTCAAACCCAAGACCTGAAGTGTACAACTGTGTACACATGTTCTTGTGAGCTGGGTTTCACCGGCATTCTTGCAGCTTGCGCACCAGACGCACCATTCGCACGTCAGTCGATTTGTAGTCCAAATAAGCCTTTTCACGCGGCCCAAATCTGACAAACCACCAGATTGCATAGTTATGAAAGCCAGCCGATAGGCTGGGATGAGGTGCTAGATGGGCGAAGGACGTGAGCATTAGGGGGTGTTGGGGGGGTGGTCGCGTGGAAGGCCCTGTCGGGAGAGAAAGCGAGCAAAAGGGTTGCGCAAATTCACCTCTAGAAGGGGCTTGGTGATGCGAGTGATGCCGAAGAAGTTCAATAGTAGTGGTGGCCATGATGCAAGCAAGGCATCTTCGAGCATGAGCTGAGTTTTGGCAGACTCTGTGGGGGCAAACGATGCAGGGAGCCGGAGTTTCTTAGTTGATGCCCCTTTGCGCCTTGGCGCTTTGTTTGAGGGCCGTCTTGGGCAAAAAGAGGGCACAAAGAGCGGGTTCTGGCAATAAGGCCGGTAACAAAGCAGGACATGGCAGATGTATCCTTGAGCACTTTGATTGAATCTTGCGAGCCGCTGCTTGAGATGAATAGTCGATACAGGTCCAGGTATTGAAAGACAGTGTGTTCTACATATCTATATGCAGAGAGCCGAAGCAACACCCTTAGCCGCATTTCTGGGTTGGAGCTCTTCTGAGCCTTCTTTGAGGACCGTCTCGCAGTAAAAAGGCGCACCTCTAAAGGTGGTTCTAGCATGTTCTAGCAGCAAGTTACCCAGAAAGGGTGGCTTTCGTCCCCTCCGTTCTAATTTCTTCACAGGGTCATGTGCCAAATGGACGAGGATTCGAGTGGCGTCAATGTAAGTTCCTGTCTCGCAGAGCTTGCAGGACTGGATGGAGCACCGTGCACGTGGCTCGTGCCACCTGGACGTTTTGCCTGACCGCAGCACCATGCATGTGCGGCAGTAGATTGCAGGCTGCGACTGCAAGTTTGGCACGTCAGTTGGGGTGTTACTTCGTAAACTGAAAGAAAGAACCAGAAGGCCAGAAGGTGCACATGATGTGTATGGCACATCGCAAACAACGGCACATTCTGATGGCACTGACTGGCAGCCAAGCATTGCTTGCTTGATTACCTTTACGCATTGCAGCCCTGAGTTTGTGTCAAAATTGATTTGTGTATCAAAGTAATGCATTGTTTGTTTGATCAACGAGGGTGCAGTTGGCCGTCCATAGTTCTTTCGAGTTACAAGACGAGTTGCTGCTAACTATTCCTGAGCCATATGGATCTTTTTGTGAGAAAAGGTGCGTTCAAGAATGTTGCTGCAGCTGCATGCGCAAAAGTGGCAACCCGACAAACAAAACATGTTTTACCCAATCCTTCCGCAGAACTTGGGCTCAAAATCTCAGAGCTCGGAGTGAACTACTCCTGATAGTGAACTACTCAGAGCGACTCTTCCAGAGTCGCACCTGCAGAGATCTCAGCGTAGTGATGCAAGGGGGGCGAATTCTTTGGGATGGGCAATTGTTGAACATGTTTTTCTTGTACCTGGAGGCTAGAAGAACCAAGCAGCCTTCGATGATGTATGGCAAGGCTATCCATGGGTTGAGGGGCGGGGCAAACATGGGCACACCCCACTCCAATGTGACGGAGTTGCTTCACTCAAGTACAGAATGCGCAGGACAACTATGGTGCCTCAGGTCCGCTTCGAGTTGTTTCCGAGACTTTTCGTATTGGGTTGAACGACACGAGGATTTTCACGCAGTGAAACAGTCAGGAAATCCATATGCCCAGTTCCAGGGCCAGGACAGTCTCGCTTTCGCTTTTGCAATACGATTTCTTAAGGCACTTGCCGCTCACAAGTCAAGGTGCTGCATGTGCTGCCAAATGCATCCCAATAGTGACCTCTGAAGAGTGATAAGGAATGTCACTCTGGCCGCTCTGGCCAAGCAGTGGCCAGGAGATGGGACCTTCCAAGCCTTTGATGGGGCCACCTCAGGCACACCAGAAGGAGCTTAGCAACTTTTTCAGACTCCATGCATCATTCAATGTGTCTGTAATTAAGAAGGAATGTGGATGAAAGAAAAGAAACCAGACAGGTTGCCCAGATTGCATCAGAAATGGTCATAGTATTGAATCACTTGAGTCACTTGCACGCGAATGTTGCTTTTGGATTTGACTACCTGAACGTGCAAAGCGACTTTGCAGTTGACCACCCGAACGCGGATCAACTTAATCGGCGTCCTAGTCTCGCTCTTCGTGCCTTGGTTTGTGCTGGGAGCTTGGAGCAGCACAATCGCTGGGTTAAACGAGTTGTCGTAAGCAGCTTTATTGGAGCTTTGAAGTATTTTGAAGTCTTCAACGCGGCTTGAAGTTTGGCACTTTGACGCAATTGGTCCCTAAGCATCCACTTGAGTCTTTCAGGTTCCTTGCCATGTTCGCTTTGTGGTCCTTTCAGCTGCGATACAGCGCACCGGGGAAGACGCTCGGCGGCGATGAGTGCTTGGATATTTCTGAGAGTAGAGGAGCAACTCCAAAAGTCGTGAGGCTTTGCACTCGTAGTCGTAGTCGTATAAGCTTCAGTGTTAAGCAATGTCGCACAACAGCACTTGGAAGGGTTGAGCCAACCGCTTTGGGACTGGAAGGGATTTTGGCTGAAGTGCCTTGAAGCTTGCGGAGCCATCTCATTCACCACCGTGCTACTCTCCAAGGGTCCTCACAATTACTATAATCCTCGGCACCATTTTGGGCCTCTTCTGCCTCTACAGAGTCCGGAGCCCATACTGCAGACGTGGGAACAGCAACAGTAAAACCGAACTCTCTTCCTTTTGTCGGACGAGATCATTTATATTTATATGATGATAAAGATTCGTGAAGTGCTTGAGCCAGAGTTTCGAACTGTTTGTCGGCCTTGTGATGGGTTGCCCATGAAGGGTGCCAAGGCACACTGCCAAAGCAAGAGAGAGAGAGAGAGAGAGAAAGGTGATTGCAAGCTGCTCCATCAGGGTTTTGTAAAAACGGATGTTGTGTGACAGCTTGGCTTGTATCCCAGCTTCTTTAATAGTCGCACTTGTGCACCAAGCACATTTTAGACTCATGACTCGACTCATTGCTCAATTGCTCATTACTTGCAGTCTTTCCAACATCCTAGTGTTGCTGGGACGCAAATTAGTTGGCCAGAATCTTTGTGGCACTGAAGAATGTGCATGCTTCGTTTGGCCCAGCCTGGTCCAAAGGTCCAGCTTTCATGCAGAGCTCTGTGGGGCAACTACGACTTAGTTGAGAGAGGACCGACCTGGCTTTGGCAAGACAAGAGTCAGATGTGCTCAAAACCGAAAGAAATACTGGATTGCACAGCCTCTGTCAAGAACCACATTATGGACTTACTGCCACTAGATATAATATATTAAAATATGATATAATACATCATACTAGCACTATGCACTCAATGATTCAATTCAATGTTTGATCGTGTTCAAGCAAGTGATGGTGTGACAACGCTGAACTTTGCTTCACATTTTTTGCAGGAAGGTTCTCGGTCTGGTCCCTTTTTATTGCCATCACTGCCATAGTCGCATTTGCCTTGGGTTTGAGCACAGGGAGTCGGCACCTGAGACTCAAAGCTGGCGTTGGGCAGCTCACAAAGCACATCCAAGATAATTTTGTCGCAAAGCACATCAGCCCTGAGGCTTCGCTTTTTATGTTTTTGATGCCCTTGTTGGACATATCAGAATAGATGCTGATTAGATGTGATCATCATTGTGGCGAGGCTTCAACTACAGCGAGCACATGCGAGGCATCTACGATGTGCAGTCGCTGAATGCCTATGTAGAGGTCAACCCAGCCACAATGCGTGGGCAGGCGCCAATCTCAACAGCTTTTTTGCGTCATGAATTAGGGGAAGAGCACACAACATCCAATGGCAAGTTGCTTTTGACTTGGCTACCCTCCTTCCCCTTTAGCCACAGGACAGGGCTGGTGACACAGAGTAAGAACCTTTTCCCGCTGAGGGTTACTTTCTCTACCTATGATGATGGGGTGGACTTCTTACTAAATGTTGGACTGTTTGGAACCAAGTGTTGCCATGCTCGTCAAGAATCTGCTGTGACATTTGGGACACATTACTTCTCACACCAAGCACAAAGAAACAGGCCTCCTCCGTGGCAACCGGCAGTTTCAATAGACATGTTCCCCTTTTCGGACGGCAGCGGACCCTGCTTTCCGAGAGACCGCCTTCCTGAGTCTTCATTCCCGCCGCAGTTGTCAGGGACTACTACTACTACTACTACTGAAGAAATTTAGGCTCTCATTCCAATGCAAGTTTCCCAGCTTCATCATTTTGTTCAGGAGTTGATGGATGCAGGGAGAGTTCAATTTGTCTCCGGCGCCAACGTGGACCTGAACTTGGCGGATGGGTTCAAGAACACGGATGTGTATTGCGTGCCACGCTGCAGGTTTGCTAAATTAAAGAAAGAGGGAGCCACAGAAAACATGTTCAGCTTGGGTCTGCAGAGTCCCAATAACTGAAAAGCAAAGTTAAATATCACCTCATTGATACTTCTTGAATCACAGGAGTATTGATGGGTAGCACTACGGTAGCATTTGCTTCACCTCGCAGCCAGGTTGCGCCAATCACTTTGAATGGTGCCTCGCTGGCGCACCAAGCTGAGCACATCGCTTCCGTATTGTGCCTGTGCCAACTTCCGAGAAAGGCATTCAATGTCTCAGGTCCTATGACTTTTGGGCAGTGGGCAAAAACTGCTGCTCAGACAAGCTGGCCGACTTCAGATGTGGCGCGAGCCGCCGACCTGTTTGTTGACCAGGGCATCCGGCAAACCTGATGGGAACCCGTGGAACTTGATTGACATTGCATGATGTAGGGCAGTACGGCCTTTCTCCTGAATGAGTGCTAGGTCATGTTGGGTCCCCATGTCATGGTCGCCTGAGAGGACGTATTGATTGCCACTTCCAAATGCAGACTCCTGCAGAAGTAGCTATTTATTTTATCTCAAATTCAAGTGGTTTCCATAGATCCTGTCAATCTTTTTGTCCCACGTGCTAGACCGCCAGACCTGGTGGCAGGTACAAAAGCCAGGGATTGAAAGGTGGCGTGAGAATCACGGACGACGTGGATCGTGACTTTTACAGGAGAGGTTGCGCGGGGCGTAGGATGCTCTTCACACTGTGTCCTGACATTGGAGCGACTAATTATTATGAGTACGTAATTGCATGATTTTTGAGAATACATTCTTTACATTTCTTTACAGGGTGTGAGTAGCTTGCCTATACACCTAGCACCATCGTCATCGTTCTGGAATTTCGGGCCAACCTGACGTGTGAGGCTCGCCGTGCAACAGGCACAGTCAGCTCATGCCATCAAGGCCTGATCAGCTCAGTTGCCTTGTCATGGACGTTGCCCTCAACTGAAGCCTTGCAGGCAATCCACCCTCTCTTCTTTGAGTGGACGGAGAATTCCTTCGATCAGATGATGGAGGATGAGCGGGCACAGCACTGAGTACATCTTAGTACTGCGCATCGATGGAGGGGCAAAGGAGAGGTGCTTCCAAGTCCCACTCTGCAGGCTGGCTACCAAGTCTTCCTCATGTCGATGCTTGGGCACTTCATTTTCCAAGCAATCTTGGTGGCGATCGCCGTTACATGTTTCACAAAGAACCGGTTTGAGTAAGAACTGGAGGCGAGCGAAGCAGCTCAGAAAAGTTCATCTACGTCAACAGCAAAACGCAGATTGGTGTGAATTGTATTTGCTTATACAGTATACATGTTTGATTATTGATTATATAAATGATTAGGAACAAGAAGCTACTGGGGGCTCCTGGCATCGGTACTAGGAGCAAGGACGCTACTAGGGGCTCCTGGCCGTACTACTAGGAACAAGATTTGTAGGCCATGAGATGCCAACTCACCTGCCGCAACAGGAAGCTCAAAAATTGTATGAACGATGGAACATCGAGGCTTATGTTGCCTGATGATGCCACACATGGAGACTTAAGAATGTGGCCGTGTGATGGCTTTTGCTCACATGCTATTGGCAAAGCTGCAGTTCTGATTCTGTATATATATTCATATATTCAGAGCTAATGTTTAAAACATAAAATGCAGGGTTTCACCCCTCACTAGCTCTCATAATCAATCATCAATTTTTCACGCATTCGATCTTGTTTTGCGTGGACATTGGCCACACGCACTCCTCCTGTAATTAGAAATACTCGATTCCTGTTCTGGCAAGAGCAGCGGAGCTCACGGTGGTCTTCTAAAACTCAAAGAACAGCGCTGACTTATGCTAGCCCTACAAGTCAAAGATGCTCAAATCCCGAAGGCGGACATTTTCGGATTGAAAGCGCCGTGGTGTTTAGCTGATCCAAGCGCCATGGGTCAGTACTTCTCCTTGCGTGGAGCTGAAGAATGGGCTGGCATCCCAGGGCTGTGACTTGTGGAGTTTGATTGACTCAAAAAGACCCAAACATGATGAAACGATGAGACTCCAAAAAACACACAGACACACTCACAAGGAACGACGACGTTAGTTCCTTCGAAGAACTCAGAATTTGAAGCAACAATGAACTATCCACAGAATGTGTCCTTTGGCCACAACATATGAAACCACACAGAGAGATCATGTTGTTTCCAAGGCAGAGACCCTTCAAAAGGCCAGGTACATCACGGGCTGCGTAGCATGTCTTGGTGCCTTTGCGCTGCTCTTGATTGTGTCAAGGGTAGGTACAGTCATGTTGAGTGTTCCATTCTCCTCTGGCAACACTTCGCCAGACGGCGCTACCCTCTATTTGGTCCACCGCGACCTACACGCCCTTGGCCAAGTCCAAGCAGATCCTCCTGACACGGCCTGGACAGGTGCGTTGCACACAAGAGCCATCCCAAATGAAGCTGGTGCCATGAGTCTGTGTCCTGGGAAGGTTGACTTCTTCTTCCCCGGTTCTTTCAAGCAAGGTGGAGACTACGTTCAGGCCAGCTGTCACTGGCTTACACGTTGCAAAGATTGCTTTTCAGCAGACACGTTGCCCTGTTACACATACAACATAATGTATCATCAAGTCAACCTGGGAGAGATGGTCCTGAGATTCTGACTCCAGAGAACATATGATATGAGAAAACACGAGCTATAACTTACCACCATGAACTATAATATATATATATATTATATAATATTATATAATATGGTATCAGCAGCATCACGCAAAATTCTCAATCCATTCTGCGGTTTGCGGATTATATACAGTCACGCTTTTCAGATTGGATGCCCTACCTTGTGCCACTTTGTCAGTTTGCAACTTCTTTGGGCATTGTAAATTGTAGATGGTACCTCCTTCCCTTGTGATGATGATGATGATGATGATGATGATGATGATGATGTGCTTTGGATTTGCATGTGGGTGTTGTGTGACGATTGAAATCCATGTCGTGCAGAAGCCTGCAGAAGCCAGCTGGCTTAGAAGTGTGTGCGGCTTGAGTTCAGATCCTTCTGCGAGACGCCGTGATGAGCACGCGGCATCGGCGTTCCACTTGTGGTAGCTTCCTGTGGCCGCGGGTGGCACCCGCCAAGAAGGCCGTTGCAAGCAGCATGGAAAGAGCTGTCCAAGGGAGGAAAGTGGCAGGGCAACGTCACTGTGATAGAAGCCGAGCTCCCTGAGTCCATTTCCTTTGGCTGTGAGGCAACCGTGTCTTCAGGACATGCTGTGGGGCAGATGGTTCAGAAAAAAGGAACACTCTTTCCCCTGCTGATGTCAAGCTGGCAGATGCGCAACTTTGGGCCATTTGGGTGCACTCAGCAGGCAATGTTTGAAGAAACCCAAACGTGTGAGCGCAAAGCTCGCAAAAAAAGGAGCAGTGCTGACCAAGGAGAACTCTGCGCCCAAGACTCACGAAGGTAAGGGTGCTGGTGCGCTCAAGCCTCCTGAAGGCAAGAGCGCTGGCGGAGGAAAGGCTGTAGGAGGAGATGACGTGTCATTCGAACGAGCCCTTGGGGTGGGGATCTTCAGCGAAGGTGTGCGTGGACACCACATGCGCCTTCAAGTAGCTGGGCTGTTCAACACTTTAGGCTTCATGGTTCACAATTTGCGGATTCTGTGTGAGAGCTGTGAGATTACATGTGCACACATATACATGGTTCCCCGGCCTCGGGATTAAAGAGTAACAGACCGGTTCAGTCTTATTCCTTAGTGTTTTTGGCTCCAGCGGATGTCTTGCCGCGGGTGCCATAGCCGCCTCGAACTCGGTGTCGGATCCTCGGGCTTTTGCGATCCCTGCTACCTAGCAGGGAAGGTGCTGAAGGTGGTGTATACCAGATATCCCACCTCGAAGGCTAGAGAGCTCACCCCGTACTTGGCAAAGGTCCTTTCAACTCTGGAGGCCGACTGCGAGTTGTTCGAGGCTGACCGTACTGCTGGCATTGTTGACGCTCAAGGCTATCTCATTGAGGCCAAGAAGCCGGACAAGCTCCCAGCAAAGCAGGTTGAGAAAGCACCTGGTCAGGCGGCATTGGCATCGGGGGAACACCCTGGTACAGAGAACGCAGCGGCAAGACCTTCGAAGGCCGTGAAGGAGGAGATCAAGGAGCCGAGCAAGAGGAAGAGATCCCCATCCGTGCAGTCGAGATCCAGACGGAGAAGGAAGCGACGCAGTCAGAGTCGCAAAGAGGAGAAGAAGAGATCGCGGGGCAGTCCGAGCCCTGTCGTGGTTGAGGAGCAGGCCGAAGTTGTTGGCACCGAACCTGAGGCAGAGGAAGAGGTTGAACCCCTTGAAGAAGAGGAGGAAGAACTTCAGGAACCTGAGGATCAAGACGACGAAGTCATCAGGAACCCACAGAAATTCGAGCTACGCCAGACAGCCAAGCCATCGAGCAGAAAACCCTTACCGAGGAGGCCGCGCACACCTTCGGTCTCCCCTCCGGGGTATCACTCACGAGAGCCAGCACCCATCAAACGCTGGAAAGGTTGGGCACACGTGTACCGAGGACAGGAGAGGCAGTCAAAGGGTAAAGGAAAGGGCGGCAAGAACCGTCCCCCAAAAGGACAGGCGTGGCACCGAAGGTGATCAGACGACCTGCAGGAGGTCCAAGACTTCATCCTCGCTTACGACGGCCAGCGGCTCACATGGAGGACGAGGGCGATCGGGGCGAGGAAGCCCCTGTGGACGGGGACCCAGCTATCGGGACCCTGATGCACGGCGAGGACGCCACCTACTACAGCAATCCCTGCCAGTTCAGCGGAAAGGTCATGGAAGTCACCAAGGACGCGTCGGGGCGGTATGTCGCCCTGAAACTCCTCGGCACCAACCTCGAGAGTCTTCTGACCTGGGGAACAGGTACAAGCCACTACGCCCGGGTGCATTTGTGCAGCGCCGAGTGCAGCCAGGAAGCAGTGGGGCCTGGTCTCATACATTGCAAGAAGTTTCGTGCAATCGGGTCGTTGGAGGACCTGGACGGGATGCCATGGCGGGATGTCCTCGTGAGCGCAAGTCCCCGCGACGGAGACGAGCTAGCAGGTCTCCGAGGTCGAATGGGTTCCCTCCCGGATCCTCCTGGAGGGGACGGTCGTGCCACCGGCAGCAAGGAAGAGAAGGACGAGTCCAAGGAGAAGGACAAAAAGAAACAAAAGAAAAAGAAGCACCGTCGGAGACGGAGGAGGTCCAGCTCACCGGACGACAAGAGGAGGAAACGCAGCCGATCGAGCCGGTCGCGAAAAAGAGGAAGAAGCAAGGAGAAGAAGGAGGCCGCGGTGGACGGGGCCAGGAGCCCTGGGAAGAGCAGTTCATCGTCGAGCACGACTTCGTCCACGGGGTACACTCCAGTCGATCAGAAGCGGATGTTCAGTCATTCCGGGCTCGACCCCGAGAAGAGGGCCCGCAACCATCAGCGCCGAAAGGCCCAGCGCTACGCTCAACGGAGCCGCTCCAAGAGGGGGGGACAGCAAATCCAGCTCCAGCGGCCATGGAGCCGGCCTCAAAGGCCAGACCATCTTCGGCGAGCACCAGCGGGTCCGAGCGGTGGCCTTGAATTTTCCAGGCGTTCTGTCGGCCCAAGCCATCGAAGATATGGCCGAACTCATGCTCACCGAGGCAGGTCAACAGACAAGTCAACAGGAAGGGTGGACGCCCACATTACTACGATATTTTCGACAAATGTTGAGTCGCAAAGTCTCCGGGCCAATGAATCGAGAACTCCACACACTATGTACGGTTGGAGATCTGGTGATCCGGGGGCGATTACCGGAAGCAATGGACACACTTATCCAGCGAGTGAAGTCGCTAGAAGCACAAGCTGGCGGCCTTCCGTGGACATCTGCACAGCGGCTGGAACTTCTCCCCAGCGACACCGCAACGTTGTCTTCGAGGCAGGAGTTGAAGATAGCCACCACAGAGCAACGGGCGGAGGCCTTGGCACATCAGTCGACCTCATGGTGGAGCAAGGGCGGAGGAAAGGACCAGAGCAAGGGGGAGAAGAACGACAAGGGCAAAGGAAAAGGAAAAAAGGGGAAGGAGAAGCCGAAGAAAGACTAGGTAGCCCGAGAAGCAGACAGGGGGTCGCAGGCCGGCTTGAGCTATACGAGAATGAGGAGACTGAGGGCAGCTTCAACATGTGCAGAACGGGGTGGGAGAGCCCTGTAATGGAGGTGCTTTCGGACACGGGCGCAAGCCCTGCAGCGGTTGGTACAACAGATATTACAGAGTGTGGCGCTCATTTCAAGGAGCAGACGCAGTCTGGGAAGAGGCCAGAGGGGCCGCGCGATGGCACTACGACGACGGGGTCACGTGCCCTGTACTCCGCCACGGTGGATGGACCATTCCCACCAGGGGCGTTGAGAAGTTTTCCTCAAGGGAAGATATTTGGCTTGGCGGGGTACAGCAGTCCGCCGGTTGCCGACAAATCCCTGGATGATGCGGGGCGACAGCCCTCGGACCTGGAGGGTTCGAAAAAAGGTGTGATGGGCAAGCACTTATTTGAGATGGGAGAAATTTTGGGGCAAAGCTTACGAGGGTCTATAGCGCTCTGCAGCCAGCCCACGGGAGGGGATGACCCAAAAGGGGAACTCCCGAGATCCCCCAACACTTTTCCCCTTCCGACTCGTCGTGAGCTCTTGATCCCACTACTTGACCCAGAGTGCACATGGACAGTCGATTGGGTTTGTGCAGTTTGCATGGCATTGAATTCGTTTTGGGGGTGCCCGAACCCCGCGCCCCAGGATCACGAACATCGAGGAGGTACATCAGCAGTTCCGGAGATGCAGGCCCGGATTGTCCGGGCTTGGCCGAGGAGGTGACTAGACTGAAGGATGTGAAGGAGGTGACAGAGGTTTTCGATTGGGGGGACTTTTTCCGGACGCGCACGATCGACTACAAGGGTGACGAAGTGCGGACAGCCATGTCGTGTCGATGGGAAAACATTAGACCAGCATTGCCAAAGGAAATTGGGTTGGCACGTTTGGTGGACATTTGCGAGCAGGGTTGCAAACACTACGTGGAGAATTTCCCCTCCTTCCTGAAACCACCCAGTGAATGGGGCCCGTTGAGGAAATCCCGCGGCATGGTACGAGATGCGGACTGGTTCAGTGTTGCACAGGGCTTGATGGACGCCGGGGTTTTCGGCGTGGTCCCAGAGTCAGAAGTTTTCCGTGTTAACTCCAAGCTTTTGCTCAACGGCCTATTTGGAGTGGAAAAACATGAGGAGGCTCAGGGAATCCCCATCTACCGCCTGATTATGAATCTGGTGCCTCTCAACGAGCTGTGCCAAGGAATGGCAGGAGACATCCAAACCCTGCCGCACTGGTTTGGAATGTCCCCTTTTTACATGGAGCCTCAGGAAAACCTCGTGGTATCAAGTGAGGATCTGCGTTGTTTTTTCTACACTCTATCCCTGCCAACCTGCTGGTACCCGTTCCTATGCTTCAACAAGCCCCTTCCTCCTGCCCTGGTGCCACCAGAAATGCGGGGCGAAGTGTGCTATCCCTGTTCAAAGGTACTACCTATGGGCTTTTTGAACAGTGTAGGAATTGCTCAACACGTGCATCGGACCCTGGTCCTGAGATCGCAACACCAACGCCCCACTCAAAACACAGGGCAGAATCCGCAAAGACAGGGTCCTTCCGGATGGTCAGACAGTATGGCGGGTCTATTTAGACAACTATGACCTCTTGGAGCGATATCCCCGAGAAACACTGTTGGAAGATACGGAGGAGGTGGCTCCTGAGATCCTCGCTCTGAGAGAGGAGTATCTGTCGTGGGGACTCCCGCGGCATCCGGGGAAGGCAGTGAGCCGCCAAGCAGTGGCGGAAGTGCAAGGCGCAGTGGTAGACGGTGTTCGGGGTCTGGCGTACCCTAAGGGTCAAAAGCTGTCCAAGTACATCACGATCGCTCATCACCTCATGGAGGAGACCATGGCCACTCAACGCCAGATGCAGGTTGTGTGTGGGGGGCTTGTTTATTTTTCCACTTTCCGTCGACAGTTGCTTGGAGGTCTCAACGCTTGTTGGGCGTTCATCGAGTCTTTCAACGTGCGAGGACGTCACCGGCTGCCGATCCCAAAGGGTGTCAAGTTGGAAATCCGCCGTTTCCTTTGCCTCGTCCCATTGTGCAGGATGAGCTTCCGCATGGCATTGAACCCCCGCGTTACGTGCAGTGATGCTTCAGAACACGGAGGGGGAGTTTGTGCTGCTACAGGTCTGACGAGGTTTGGGGAACAGGTGGCATGTGGAGGCATCACAGGTGAGATGCAAGGTCACCGTGGCGGCCGCATCTTGAGCGTTGGACTGTTCGATGGCATAGCCTCTTTGCGTGTCGCGCTTGATCTGCTGGGTTGCGATGTAGCGGGGCATATTTCAGTGGAGAAGGACCCTGGAGCCCGGCGGGTGGTGGAACACCACTTCCCTGGGACCCTGCACTACCAGGACATCGTCAAGATCGAGGAGAAGGACATTGTGTCGTGGTCGCTGACTTTTGGTCAGGTGGAGATGGTACTGATCGGTGCGGGACCACCATGTCAAGGCGTGTCAGGATTGAACAGCCACCGTAAAGGCGCCTTCCAGGATGAGCGTTCCGGGCTGTTCACCCATGTGAAGCGGGTCCAGGAGCTCGTACAAAAGCATTTTGTCTGGGCTCAGGTCCATACATTGATGGAAAGTGTTGCATCCATGGACGAGGTGGACAAGCTCGTCATGTCAGGTTCGTTCGGGGATGAACCCTGGCGCTGCGATGCTTGACAAAGGCAGGAAAGCGAGCCGGTGTTCAGGAGAGTGTCTCAGTCACCCATGATACTGCCTTTAGGTATGTACAGCATTGGTCCGAGCTTGTGACAACACACCAGAAACTATGTCCCTCGCCACCTCGCTGGCGTAAACTCTTTAAACAGTGCATCGAAAGTCTCAACCTTCAGTCTTTAGAACTGCGACCCTACTCTCTCCGGAGGGGGGGGCGCGACATGGTGGTTTTCCCAGCACGGGAATTTGGACCGGGTCATGGTCCTAGGACGGTGGCAAGCGCAGAAAACTGCGCGAATGTACCTCAATGAATCCAGAGCCATTTTGGCAGAGATGCAACTGGGGCCCTTAGAGAAGACCATTGCACCCTATCGATGTTTTTTCATGAATGCGACCCCTAGGGATTTTAAAACACTTGAGCCGTTGCAGAGCAACAGGCAGTCCTCGAAACGAGGCCTAGGGGGACGTGGAAGAAAGACCCAAATTTCAAAGAAACCAGCGAAGAAATAGCGAAAA